GTGGTTTTGAACCTGCATCAGGACATCAGCAGTCAATAATTGTCTCCTCAGCACTTTGGCTTGCTCATTGTCATTTGACAAAACAAACTGTCACTGATAGGAAGAGAGTTCAAAGGCCAACCTACTTCAGCTGAGAAGTGTTTAGGAATCTGTGGTAGGCTTACACTGCAAGGGCAAGTAGGGCCAACACAGGAAACTTGGGGTGTAAAAGAACTAAGGAAGTGGAATTGGATTTTTTTTTGGCAGGGAGGAGAAATTCTCCCCCGTGCCTCCACAAGACGTTACTCCAGGGAGTAATCATCTGCTTTCCCCCAAAGGCATGTGGATAAGTAAAGCTTGGTAATGAAGGGGAAAAGGGACTTGGGGATGTATAAATGAGCCACATTTGTTAAAACAGGAATTAGATGTATTAATGGCACTACTTTTGCAGTCAGAGACCCACATCTGGCACAGCCACCTGGGTGTGCGGCTTGCATGCAAGCATGCCAAGGCTTGGATTGAACTGAGAAAATTTAATTCGGATCCTGAAAGGCTGTGGATTACACTCAGGAGAATTTATACAAGTGTGGTGCCACTTGCTGACTTGAAGCTGCAGTTTCACCAAATGATCACTTGCATGCAAAGATACACAACTGAGTTTGATGAAGAAACTGTAGTTTGGTAACTAAAAGCTTTTGCTATTTGGTTCTGGGAACGCTCTCCCAGAGGGATTTGGAGGGTGAGAGAGAAGGGCTTGCTCAGAATGCATCAGATGAAAGATGGGGCTCTTCTTCATTACAACAATTTTTCTCCCTTTCTAAGAAAATCCTCACATCAATCGTATTTTCCATCTTACGTGAGAGAAAATTGGTAATGTCCTGTAGCTTCTGAGCACTAAAGTGCATTTCAGGAATTGTTCACTTTCAGCCTCCAATATTAGATATTGAATATTAGTTCTTTTGTTTTCCAGGCTCTAGAATTCTTATTTGCCCCATGTATGCAGCTCTATGGGACACACAGTTACCAGTTGTTCCATTCAGATAAAACACAGTTGTGAAGGGTGTGGTAGGTGTACATCTAGCTATACAGGCTAGTTCTTAAACCTAACATAAACCTTTAGCGGGTGTTGTGTTCAGATCTGTTATTTTTCTTTTCTTCCTGAAAGGCTTTACCCATGAAGTAGGGGAATCCTCTGAGTCTCTTCCTCATACTCAAGCAATGCACTATTTGCTAGACCATGTTGGGCTTCCAAGAAAATATAGGAATGTGCTCAAGCTGTCATTTGTGTACATCTTGGCATATTAACCTGGCTTTCACCCTCTTGACTGGTCTCATACTGATGTATTTCTGGGCTAGTGAAAGTTTATACCACGTGATTTAAAACTTTGGATGTCACAACATGCCTTGAAAGCTAAATATCATGCCACAAATAGCTGTCCATGCAAAATTTGCAGATATATTCTGAGACAGCATGAAAGTTTTTGTCATTAGAAACATAAAGCCTATCTGGATTAAATACTTCGTGAACAATATCAGTTCTATCTGGTATTAATATTTTAAGCTAACTAGCAAGTAATTTTATTTATGAAATAATAATATGGAATATAATTTAAATGCAAAAATTCCAGTTCTGAATATTTTGGCAGTAATGAGTATCCCTACTCAATAACAAAACTGAATGGCTTCATAAAGCCGATTGTCCAATAAAACATCAGTTATCTAGAAAGACAATAATTGGTGTTAGGAATACAAAAATATTCAGAATCCACATTTGTCATGTTCTTGTTTCATAATTACAAGAGGGTAGATTTAGATTGTATATAAGGAAGACATTTTTTACAGTGAGGGTGGTGAGGCACTGGAACAGGTTGCCCGGAGAAGCTGTGGATGTCCCATCACTGGAGGTGTTCAAAGTCAGGTTGAACGGGGCTTTGAGCAACCTGGCCTAGTGAGAAATGTCTCTGCCCATGGCAGGGGGGTTGGACTAGATGATCTCCGAAGGTCCTTTCCAACCCAAACCATTCTATGACTTATGTATTGTTTCCTGTTTCTTTCTCCCTCTATTAGCCTGTGGCCATCTGTTTCTTCATTTCCACTAGAGGAGTGTAGTCAGTAAGCTCTTTTACTTCGTTGCTACACCTTGCACAAGGCTCTGCTCACGAGAGCCCAAGTGCTAACTTGGCAGAGCACAGCATCTGAACTCCTGTTTGTTCCTTGGATATCTTGCCAGCCAGCATGACCAGAAAGCAGATTGTTTGGCTTCCAGAATCCAAGGCTGGCTTTCAAATTCAATGTGACAGACACTTTGCTGTCAGCAGAAGGAAAATGAGAGTTATTTCACCTCATTTTTGATTCCTGTTTAGTACTTCTCCATCTTTATTTTCAGTGCCATCAGTAATGAGTATACCTGAAAGAAAGTGAGGAGATTAAGTTATTCAAATTGTTAGGAAGTCACTACCACTTTTTAGATTCTTAAAATGGATTTTCAAGATTTCATCGTATCCTTTTAAAAAACCAGAATCACTCTGTCCAGCTCTGCAACCATGTGATACAGGTTGACGAAAAGTTGTTCTGACACTATGTTTCTACTTGCATTTCTCACCCAACCCCAACATTTTAACGAAAAATGTCATTGAAAAATCAGAAGTCAAGATGATTTCTCCCACCTGTCACCAAGGTTTTTGTAAAACACCTAGTTGGGGTGAAGGACAGCAGTCTCCTTTTTAAGATGGATAAGTGAAGATCTGAGCAAGCCAATTCATTTCACATAACTCAATAACGCCTGGTATCACATAGCAGCAGGTCTGGGAGGCTGTTTGTCAGGGGAGGATTTGAACTTAGGGCTTAGAGGTGAATACTCCACATTCCAGTAGCAGGTTCCTGGGGCGACCTTTCACTGGCTGCTCAAACGCTGCTCTCGTCCCCTCCACTCCCAGCACTTAGCACGTCCAGGTGCTGGCTGTGTTTTGGTTTTCAGCCTGGCTCCTCCTGGCTTTTGTAGGATTTGGTTTTGTGTAGCCTGGGCTTACCTTGAGTAAGAAATATAAATCAGCCCTGTCCTTTAGACAAATGGGAGGGGCAGTTTTCCACTGAATGGTACTGACAGTGTTGTGCAAGGTGGGCTGGGATCCCTGCACCAGGAGGAAACTCATGCCATTTTTGCCTTTGATGAGAGAACCTACTACTGTTTGTTCTGGTCTGGAGACAGAAATCTATATTAACCCTCTCTGTGCTGGAGGGTTTGCTTTGAACTTCCTCTAAATTTAGGTAGTGTGAGTTGAATGAGGATTAAATAAGCTGATAGCTATAGGTTAATTTCTGTTTTCAAACATCCTGTTTTTTTTCTGTCAGAGAATTATGTTCTTGTCTATTTTCTTAGAAAATATTTGTGATTTCTTTGGTGAGAGCAGATATTAGTAACAAATGTGTCTTTTTTTTTTTAAATGTTATAGCTGTTCCCAATCTCAAAAATATCCGTCTCTGAAAAATTAGAAGTATTCATAGAGAGTATTCCTGACAACAGATCTTTAATCTGCTTTTCCTTCCCTCAGCCACTGATTATAATCTTTGTATCACATGTAAAGTTTTTGGATGTAGAAAATCTAGGCCAAACTTGCTTGTCAGATGATTTAATGTTAAGTATTGAGATGAATGATCCTATTATCTTTAGTGTTTGCATTTTAACAATTTTTTTTACAGATGTGATTTAATGACAAGATGCTGGGCCCAAGAACCTCACAACAGACCTACTTTCTCTTACATTCAGGACAAACTGCAAGAGATAAGACACTCTCCACTGTGTCTCATCCACTACCTTGAAGACAAAGAGGCAGCAATTGCAGTCATCAACCAAGAGTTTGAAGGTGAGTCTGGGCCAGCACCTGCTTTCCCCATGGCCTCTGCACATGAACTGTAACAAAGTGGGATTCAGACACTCTTTCCACTGCGTTTCTCACAGCCTTAAATTCTCTTCCTATAAAATGGGAACAACAAAGACTCACCTCTCTCATAATGAACTTGCAAAGATTCATTAGGTGCCATTGGGTACAATGCATTAGGTAAAGTGCATGTAAGATTACCAAGCAAAAAGACCCCTATGAGATTGTGACTGAGCCTGCCTCACAGAGCCATACAGCTGGCATCTAAACTTTTGATACTTCATGACCCTGTTCAGCTAAAGTAAATGCAAGATTTATTCCTTGCACAGTCAGGAGAGCTTTTGAAGGCTTCCGGGTGGAAATCTGTGCCAATTTCAAAGGCATCTACTCACTCTTCATCAGCTAAACAATGGCAGTTAGGCACCTACTTCAGGTGTACTGGTTCAGTAGCTACCTGAAAGTGAGGCATAAATTAGATACCAAATTAAGGCAGATTTTATTCTAGCCTGAACTGTGATAGCTCCAGCCAGGAATCACAGCGTTCCTGTGAATGAGTAAAACTAGGTGATGGCAGGGGAGATAGACTTAAGACCTGGGATACAACAACAAAGCCCTATTATATACAAACACTATTAAGGTTGTAAAAACAGGAACTAAAAAAAAATAGGTGATGCTAAATTTGAAGTTGTCTGTGCAACTGTAATTCAAATAATCTAAACATGGAAATGAACATCCTGACTGGGCCACAAGAGGCTTTTCAGATCCTTTAGTAATTCCTGACTGGCTAAATCTTGAGAAAAAGTGAAGACTTAGCAAACAATGTGATCTAAAAATCTGCAAAAAGAAAGTTTATTTCAGTTGAAATATTTCACTTTTTTTTCCACAGTTTGTTTTTATTTTTTTAATTTAACCTGTTTGCATTCTATGTTTTTCTAATAAAAAATATTTCCTGTTAAAAGAATTCTTTTCTGTTCTAAAAAAAAGCACAATATAGTTGTTTCTAAAATACTTAAAAGTTTTGGGTTTATTTTGTTTTTATTTTTATTCTCTTCATAAAATGTTGTTGAACTCGAAACTCACCCTGCTTCATAAACCGTTTGATGTACCACATCAATATTTTGCAATTTCCTAAAAATTTTCTGATCCATCCTAGGAATGACACAGTATTCAACTACATAACTGCGTAGTCATTTTTCTACAGGATTCTATCTATACTCAATTCACTGGCATTGTCCAATACTCAGCTAATGATAGTCTATTTAACCGATCTTTATCAATCAGTGCAGCTTTACAAACATCAGTTTATCCCCATCATGATTTCTCTCTATGTCAGATCCAATCTGTGCATGACATGTTTATATGCCATTACAACACTAAAGACTTTATCAAGACATCACGGGACCAAAGTCACCAAAGTCACAGCACAGATAACCTATCATTTCCTGCTTTTTTAACAGTTGATTTTGCACCCTTATGCTATAATGAAAGTATAATATAATTGTGTATTTGCATGTAGTGTAATTTATTAGTTTCTTTAAGGGCATCTCCATTCTGAATAGTGAAGTTTAAAAAAGAGGTAATTGATCTGGCACAAGTCTGAGCTTGACACTAGCTCAGGAAAGGAGTACAGTGAATTAATTAGGCATTATGGCCAAGCTAATAGGCCTTACATTTTGTATGGACTCTACCTCACCTAAATGCAGCTGTCTAGAAGCTAGGAGTCTCATCTAAGATACTCTTCTAGATATCTCTGTGAACAGGAGAAGTAACAGACATCTTCAGGGAGTGACAACTCCTATGTTTTAGGCATGTATCATAGCATGAAAGGGGGCACCTTTTTCCTTTCTCTCCACTGATGATGGCTGGAATCTAAGTGCCTTGCCATATTTGACTTGGATACAGCATCTCGGACTAGATGTTTTATTTCAGATCACTACAGAAACACAACATCCACTGGACACAGGGATGTGCTGATTTGGCTGCTTTCGTCTACTCCTGAGCTAACGTGGTTTCCTAGCTTAGACAGCTTCGCTCTGTGTTCCCTAACTCCACAGGCAACAGAGACACGAAAACTAAGGGAGTTAAGAAATCCTTGTGGCATTACATCAATACCTGTTAAAATCTTTATCAGGACTGAAACTTTTAAATATGAGCCTGCCCCTCTGCTGCTTGGAGTTGGGGAAACAGTCTGGAATATAGGTTGTCATCCTTTTGGTGGAGCAGGCCTGGCACAGATACAGCACACAAGAATTTTAGTTTCAGTGAAAGTCCCTGCTTAGCATGTACCAGCTAAGCATGATGTTTACCTTGCTGTTAACTTGCTCAATCTAGGCAAATCGTTAAAGTAAAATAATTTTTTTGCCAAAATTTCAGGTTCTGCCACACAGCAGAGATCATAGAGGAAAAGCCATTGCTTTGTTTGCCAGGGACAAAGGCAACGTTCTTAGAAATGGCCAAGATATTGAAAAGGAAAATGTGAATTGAAGCTTCCATGAAAAGTTTCAGTTTGAACACTTAAAATTTGAAAAAACAGTTTACTACAGAAAATGTGGTTGTATAATAGACTTCTAGAGCAGTCTTAATAATAGTGGTACCCCATAATGTACATTATATTCAGGGAAACTGTTGGTGGTGGTCGCTTTTAAAATCAGACTCCATTAAGCCTGTTTATAATAACCTAGTTGGTAAAATCTGGCCCACTGGGGTAAGCAGGGCAATTCCATGCAGGCAGATCTTTGGCAACAGCTCTCAGAGCCAGCCTGTTTTGCTCAGCACACTCTCTCCCTGAGCCTTACCCTTTTCCCCACCAGACACCCTGTTCCCTCTTGTGGCTTCCCTCCATTCTTCCCCTTCCATAGGTTCTCTGCAGCTGTTGTTGCCACAGGCCCACTGCTGGATCTGCATTGGGATGGGAAGACAAAGCAACTGTTTTCATGCTTCCATTCAATGTTTTCATGCTTCAGTTCTCAAAACTCCTCCTTAACTTCTCCTCAGACTTATTTAGTGACTTTCACACAGGGAATGCCCATCAGGAAACAGTATAACTTGAACTTTGTTCATCTAAGTGTATTGAAATTAAAATAATCATCCTTTCATTTAATTGTATTTTAAAAGACTAAACACTTGATAAGCTCTTTACATGTCTCTATAATGCACATACTTATTTCCCCGTATATTCCAAGTTTGTCTGTAGGTTATCTCCCTCTTTCCCCAACTATAGTCCTTGTAAGCCCATCAAAACCCTATGCTGCACACTAGACTGAAGACCTAAAGTTCTGGTGATGTCTTAGTTTTGCTGGATTATCTGATTGGGACATATGCATGTCAGTTTTCTGTAGCTCACCAACCTTAAATTAATTCTGCTATTTTTTCTGCCTGTGATGTAAATCTCTTGCAGCGGAGTTCAGTGAAATGTGGGTTCCAGAAGTGCAGTTGATTCAAGCAAGAACTGGCAATTCAGGTTCTAGCTGGACCTCCAGACTAAAATGCATCTTCTTTATGACCCTGTCATAAAACTGTTTGGGGCATGGAATATATCTCAGTCAGTGATTTGTAAAAGACTGTATAATAAGTGATTTTAAAAAGAAATGCGTTCATTTTTAGCTGGTACTAAATGAAATACTTCTTGTGTTTGTCGTAGTAGTAGAAAGATGACAGCCAAAACAAATAATCCAAAGGACTTTCCATGATGGATTTTCCTGGACAACATTTTCCAAAAATGTTATAGGGTCATTGGCCTCTGTGTGTAATGAAACTCCTGCCATGAGCCTCCCGCCAAGAAATACTTGGTCTCACCAGGAGAGTTGGTTCCAAAAGCAAGAGCCAAATGTCAAGCAAAGTTGAACAGGCCTCAAAATAAGTATGATACTTAGCCTTATGTGGAATCATACATCTTCCAATTTCTGCTGAGCCTTATCTACTTGTAGGTAGCTGCACCTTCAGCAGGTCTGTATGTGCTATTGGTGTTATTTCATAGGTGGAAGAGATGGAAAACATCAGATTTTCTCAACATTAATGCCAGTGCAGTATGACGTGCAGATTGCAACTGTGGGTGAACTAATACAGGTAGTATTAGTGGTCTGGACAGCATGCTAGCAGGATAGCAAAAGGGACACCTGCTTTGCTATTGAAGACTTACCCTTCCAAAGGAGGCATCAAGTGGCAATAAATATGCCTGCGCAATACCAGCAGCTCCTGGTACTGCTGCTTCTGAAGGGAGGGAGGCAAACAGGGCCAGGAACGGGTTTTTTCCTTCTTGCTCTTAACAGGCTTTTCCCTGGACATTGATTGTGGGCATTTAGTAGCATTAACATTTTTCTGAGTGAGGGAAGCGCTATTCAGCTGGAGGACTGAGAGACCACTGGGTTTTGAATCCAGTGGGAATAGATTGAGCAGAGACCCTGTCACCAGAGTCCCCATTCACTGCTGAAAGATAGGCCATTTTTCCCCCATTTTCAAGAAGTGCAAATGAAATGTCGTGAATCAGGGTGCTAACAGGATGGCCCTGCATTGCTGTAAAAATAACCAGTCCATCTACTTTCAGACATAACTTTTTACATTTGCACATACAGGACAGCATTATATTTTTTCAGGTCCCAAGTGTGCCCCTTTACAGATGGAAACACCTGTTTGTTTTGGCAAAAGTCTTTGCCAACATCAGACAACTGGGCATTAAACAGCTGGAGTGGCTCCTTGCCTTCATAACCGAGGAGGACTATTCTCATCAGTGCTGCTCTCCACAATCCCTTTTGGACCTGTAAGGAAAAAATGTCTAATTGCTCAGAAGCTGTGTCGGAGCACCACACTCTTGCTGCTAGAAGTGGCTCCTCTCGCAAGAGGAGATGCAGGGCAGTTGTGGCAGAGCCTGAGAAAATACAGGGCAAAAGACTAAAGACCAAAAAGAAACACATCTGGCTTCAAACTCCTCATTAAACTTGAGATATTGCTTGAAAATGTGGGAAGATAAAACAGTTAGACTTTTGTTTCATTTTTTGCATTTCTTTCCAAAGCCAGTCACTCTGTGAATTTAGTTTTTTACAGTTAAGATACTTGTGAAAAATGTAACTTTTTTCTTTTTTTTTTTTTTTTTTTAATCTCAGTGCAAAACATTGTATTGAAGGGATTTGACATTAAAATCTGGAAACAGTGACTTCACCGTTAATTACCTGTCTGCCCTCCCTGCTGGCTGAGTAGTACTGTTTGCTGTTCCCTGTGTAAGAATCATCAGTTTATTTTCCTAAAACCAGCTGCCTTTTAAAAACTGTGCTGCACACCCCTCTGAACTTAATCACTTGGACAAACGGAAGCTTCTCTAAAGCAGATGTGTTGATAAGAGACATTTTTAAAACGTTGTATCTAGTCTCCTTTGTATTTTTCTGAAATTCAGTAATCCTCTTCCCCACTTAGCTTAGTGAGTGGCTGACCCAAAGCCAGCTGAGGTCAGAGAAAAGGTTTCTTCCAAAACAGTCAGTAGTTAAAACGATGCAGGAAAAGGCGGACTTGGTGGCATGATAATTTCTTATTTGTCCCCTAGACAAATGCTGTTTGATTCCAGGGAGTGCACGTGAGCCATATGATACTGCAAGGAAAGTCATGCTAAAATTTTGCCTTGGACTGGGGAAAAAAAAAATCAGATGATGTGATGTTTTAAGAGCTGACATTTCTGTAGTATGATTGTATAGCTATAAGCAACTAAAACTTAGGCACTGCATTTACGCTGGCTGTCTAGGCTGTTTGATAGCCACTAGAGTTGTAGACACGTTCAGAGGGTGTTATTGTATAAAGGTAAGGATGTAAAATAAACATCTCCACAAAGGGACTCATTCCTCCTTTCTCTCTCCATTGACTGTAAAGGCACCCTAGGCAAGGAGCTTAAACTGGACACGTAAGATCTGGGTGATTAAAACTTGGTAAATTAATCCTGCTTTGTGAGCTGGAGAAGGGGGTGTGTTTTCCTATTTATATAGCTTCATTGCGTTGCAGCGAATGTGGAACTGACCTTTTTTTGGTACTTTTATATTATAAATGATAATAAATAATAGACAGGTTTATATCTGTATTTCCCAAGACAGCTTCTTGCACACAGACGTTTCAGTCCACAAATCTCTGAAAAGTCTACTAAAATAAAAGGTAAGACAGGTAGTTGGTGCTTCAAGCAGTTTAGTGCAGTGTAAATGTAGAATGAACAAAATTCTCCCTTTTAGTGCCTTTAGTGCCTGATGGAATAGCAAAGCTTGGTGAGTCACCCTCAAACCACGCAAGATCATATGCTTCATTAGACAGGAAACACAGATATATCTCCACTGATATATAATACAGAGTGGAGTATCAAAACGGATATATATTTGTTCTATTTATATCCTTACTGGCAATGTGCAGAAAGTGAAACACAGCACCTCCAGCTCCAGGTGGCAAGCAGGTATCAGGAAAATACTCCCCACACAGGAACTATCTCTTTGAGCTAACCAACATAGCTGAGGTGGAGAAGTCAGGGTTCCACAGCCACTTTTTTCACCCTTTACAAATGTATGTCGTCAAGCGCTTCTTTTTAATGTATTCACTGTGGGGTGCATCTTTCAGCCATGCCAGTAAGTCAGCAAGTCTCTTTTTTCCTACCATGTACATTGTGTGGCAGGGACAAAGGGCAGAGTATGTATGAGAAAAGCAAGAGAATATTAATGGGAAAAAGTAAATGTGGCTGCCCTTCTAAATACCTTACCATATTGAAGGTGCTAAGCATCATAGGGGATTATGTTACCCAGAATTAGCCATGTCTCAAGCTGGCTATTTAGCTAGTGTAAGTCAGTGGTATCCCACTGGTTTCTATGGAGCTTTGTTAATTTGCATTATCTGAGGATCTGGCCCTGAAATAGTTGTAATAGAAGATCAGCATCTCTAGATCAGTTTGTTCAGTGTCTATCAATCAGCTTTTCTACTGACTTTTTTTTTCTTATATGTTGTCACCTTCTGAACTTAAATACAAAAAAACCCCATCTGCTTATCAAGACATCACAAAAATTTGCACCCTTCCAGGCATGACTTCAAAACATGTTGTGAGCCCACACAGCCTACCTAGCAGGCAAGGAAAGAGGCTCTGTGACTGTGAGGCAGGATACGTGACCCAACTCGGCACTGTGGCTGTCCTGCAGCAGGAAGCAGCCGACTGAGATGCTGAGACTGGCGAGGGGGAAGCACAGATTTTATCAGGTTAGGACTGGTGTCCTCAGAGGAGGCTAAGCAAGCAAACTCCATCCCTCGTTAGCATGAGTCAGGCGATCACAGTTTCTTGTGTCAACTAATGCTGGGCTCTCTAGAGTAAGCTTCTGCCTACCTCTGGAGAAATGCTTTGTAATTAATTTACCTGCAGTTTGGCTCAGATGTTGTGCTTTATGCGCACTACTACAAGCAAAAATGTCCTAGCAAGGTCAAAGCTACAAGCATTTATGACCTGAGACAGGTATCTATGGAAGTACAGTGCTGAGCTTTGAACATGTCATTTTAGTTATTGGAAGCAGTCTACCTGAGAGAGCACAGAACTCGGCGGGAACCTGCTTCCCAGCAGAGTACTTCTCAGCTTGTACAAAGCTCTGGACTGTCAGAGCTAGCCCACCTCATGCCCTCAGGCAGGTTGTTTAAAGTGAACATGGGTAACTCTACACTACGCAGCAGTCCACAGTGTAGACAACCCCTCAGGGTTTCAGTGTTTGGAGTTGACTCTCCAGCACGACTTCAGATTCCATGAAGGTGCTTCTCGGACGCCTCCTCTAGGGGTGTTTTGTTGGCTCAGCCAGGGTTTGCTTGTGAAATCTGAGGGGATCACATCACATGGTTTATCCTGCATTTACTCACGTATAACCCAGCATGACTATACATCAATCAACTAATTTTAGCAATGTTAAAACTCAAAAGAAAATAATGATATCTCATGAGTATACTGACCCGCCTCTCCACTCCAGCTTCTCTCTATCTTCCTTCAAACTCTTAATGATTTTTGGAAGGGGCTTCCAAAGATTATTCAGAATTCTCTGCATTGGCTTATGGCTTCCCAGAGTGTTGGCGGTGCTTCTAGCTCTCACATTTCTGGGGGAATTTCACAATATATGATGATTTTTTTCTTCAGTTACTCATTTTAAGTATCTTCTATCTCCATTCATCATTTAACTAAGTGAGCAAAAAATAAATTGCTTATTTTGCTGACTTCCATGAGAGGCAAGAATTGTACTATATAACTTGACATCTTTGCATAGATTTTTTGGCTTGTATGGCAGAACGGTGCTGAGCTTTCATAGGTGCCGAACACTGCGCTAAGAGATGATGCAACAGTGAAGGAAAGGGTACTTGCAGTCAAAAATCTCATTGCAAAAGTGTCAATGTAGCTTATACATGTCATGTCATAGGAGAAAGGACATCAACATTATATTTGTCCTCTGTCTTTGGATAGGGTAAGAAAATTCCACAAAAATATTCTTTCTTCCTTGTTTTGTCCCCAAAGCTCAAAAAGTAAAACCAAGGCAAGGTGTTTGATTTTTTTAGATCTTTTTCTCTATAATGAGAAATGCAGTGGGGCATAGGCTGAAAAAGGATTATAATATTGTATATATTCTGTAGTTCTTCAGACCTGTTGGGGAAAGAATTAGTAATGTATCTATATATCTGGTAAAAATATCTCAGTGACCTCATACTCACATTTGTGTAAACATCACCTCATCAGTTCCAGATACTTATACAGGAAACAAATCTGAATGCTCCTCTAGTGTTCTATACTTAGGCAGGTCAGCCGGCATATGTCTGGTCTGTAAATACCCAGTTTTACTTGGGTCCTTATTTTAAGGTTTCTCTCTTAAGAGTTTGCTGCAAACACGCCCTCAGCATTTCCTGGTGTGCTTTTTCCAAAGCAACTTGCCCCTGAGGGTTTCCATTAAAAGCTTTATCAAACAAAAACAAAATGCAAACAAGAGCCGTACTGGTTTGTAAAGACTTGGTCAGGATTGAGTTACTAAATATTGCCATAATAGTCCTGAACTGACGAAGTGAGTATCAAATGATTTTTCGTAGATGTCAGTCACTGTGGTATGTGACCACAGTTTGCTCTATGTCTCAGTCTCCATCTTGCTAACAGGTTTCTAAAAATCAAAATTCTCCTTCAGACTTCTCCTAATAATCTTTCCTAATGGACTCTAGCATGTGCAACAGATATCTGACTTTGTAGCTTGGGGGGGCATGTGATTATAGTGACACAATAAATTGTATATTGCCTGATGCAACAGCACAATGCTTGTGATTTGTTTGAACAGAAAACCCCGAATGTCATGTGCTGCATTTTCCAGTTATGAAGTAAAAAAACGAGGGAGTCTCACAAAAGAAGGAACATGTTACAAAAATAAATGCAGAAAATAGCAACAATTATAACTTGAGCCTTTAGTTAATAATTTTTATATTTTTTAAACTATATATCCCCTGCAATAGCTTTCAGGCAATTCTGTAAATGTGAACAGCATCAAATTAGGGAAAAAATGTAAAGTTTTTAGAAATGGGAAAAATACAGGATTGCCAAGTTCAGGCTTCTAGAAAGACAGAATATTATAAGTCCTCTAGAGAGACAGTATATAATGATTTAGTAGGTATAAAACTGCCTATGTTACAGAACTCTCTAGCAGTATTATTAGCAGGGTTACACAAAGGTACAGACTAAAATCACCTTGGCTTTATGCGTGCTATCAAAAGAAGTAAGTCATGTATTCATAACTGCTGCCTGTGGAGGTATGAATGGTGATGACCAACCTTCCCCAAGTGATTTACTTAAAGTTATAATCCACACAGGCAGTTGCAGAAAATAAATTTGAATCATCAGTCACTCTTTATGTGGCCACTAGACCAACTTTCTCCAACAGCTGTTTGATTTTGTTCACTTTCTAGTACTATATGTATATGACTGGGCTGTTGCCTTTTTTTTTTTTTTTTTTTTTTTTTTTTTAAATGCAGATAGTGATGTTCCGTGTGCAGATTTGGACAGTATTCTTTCAGCCATGCTAATTGAAACAAGGGATCAAGAGGGCTTAAATTATTTGGTATTAGTCAAAGAAGGCAATCAAGACGAAGGAAGCATCAATTCTGCTGAACTGTATGAAAGAAAGAGGGAAAGAAGAAAAAAAGCTCTACCAATGAAGACAAACCAAGGAAAATATTCTGAACATCGTCATACTTACAGAGATGTCTTAAAAAAACCCAGCAACTCTCTAAAACACTAAACCTACCAGAAAATATCATAAGATACTGAATGATGAGTAGCAGAGTAAGACAGCAATTACATATCTTTTGACTTGTTACATAGTATGCTTTGGGTGTTTCACGTGAGAGTTTAAGGGAATAAAACATGTAATCAGACAGCAAGTGATTTTACTGTGGTGTTGATTAAATTTACACAATCACATATGCCTCAGGCACAGCACTTCCAAAAAAGAAGTACTGGCATGCAGTTTCAAAGAAGGGACCCACTCACTCGTGAAAAGAAAAAAACAGTTGAAATCTCGCTTCATTGTGCACAAACAAGATTTTACTAATTGAAAAACTAGCATAAATTCTTGTTGTATTTTTATAACTTCAAATCAGAAAACAACAGAAGAAGGGTGACTGGGTTGTCCACTGCTGGAGTGGTCTATTTCATTATTTAGTTTACACAAATGTTTGCAATCATCTTGAATGTGAAGTTGCATAGTGATTGATCTGTGAATCTAGACAGTCTGGTTTTCTTACATTTATTTTCCTTTCCCTTTTTAATGTTCAAAATCCTTGCTTATTTTTTATCAGACTGGGTGAAGGACGATACTTTTCC